AGAGGGAGAGGTGAGTTGGACATTCTTGATAATCTCGACAATGCGGTCGTCTGAGACTGGGGACGTGTCATTTAAGCCGTAGACTGTTCGGCGGTAGTTGACTGCTTTGAGGTATTCGTCGGTGGAGATCTTTGCGGCGGCCATTGTGATGCCGAGGTGTTTGAGATGAATTGAGGCGATTGGGAGTCGAATTGAAAGTGCAAGTGAAGATGTTATTGGTTTTCGAGGACGTCGAAGAGGTTTATGTACTGGCGGGGTCTGGATTGAGTAATTGGTTAAGATCTACTATGAGGTAGGTGCATTAGATCTCATTGGCTCGGATGCACTCGAATCTACCCGAGGAATTTATTCCGCTCGATTGTCAATACTGATGGATTTGTAAGAGCTGAGCAAGACGTCAACAGTCCACAATAGGGGCGGGAAAAGAGTCTCCGAGCCACAACCACATCTGCTTATTGAACCAGATCCTGTTCCCACGGAAAATGTCCTCTTGATTAACCATGAGCCGTCCCTTCTGTTCCCGCTCGCTTCAGTACGTTGTAAACATATATGATTAATACTCTTGTCCGCACTAGCTCATTCCACGATCGACATGAGGGATCGTCTGGAGATCTCAACCTTTGAATCGATCGCACGGAGCAGTCCACCGAATGCGAGGCCAAGCGGGACGTATCCTGTGTCCTCGAGTCGTCACGATGGGTTTACAAATTCCATGTCTCCCAAGACTCAGCTTTCACGGTCTTGTCATCTATCAGTTGAGGTCGAGATCGATAAACTTCTAGCGCCCGAAAAGTATAATCTTTCCAGAACTTTGTCATCATCTAATCAAAGCTGGCAGGACCATGTCCACAGGAAACATGGTGATTTCCGAGGATCGAGGAACACAAAATCGATGATGATGCCACTTCGGCGCTCCTACCTAGTCTTGCGTAGGAAGGCCTTCCAAGGTTGAATCGAAACCAGTATGAGTTTGCAAACTCAATTTTCTCGCACCAAATCACACGCCGTATCCTTGATCTTAGAGTACAAGTAACTTGCTCGTGGGCTCGTTGGTATGTGTGAAGCTCTATCGCGTTCGCCAGGGTCGCAAATATCGTCGATTGCTCTTCGCTCGTTATCGATGGTAATCTTGCATTCCCATGAGAACTTGAGGCCTCTACCAGGACTAGTGTTTGCTGTTGGTACTAGTCACACCAGTGGGAGGATCGAAGTCGATGAAGCTGCGGCCTCTAAAGAGATGAGATGAACGCTCGGTCCAGGTCAAGATATTATTACTAGATCTATGCGCTAATCGTACATGGGAGACCATTAATCATTTAATCTTTCAGGACTGGAATGAAAATCTCGAAAGAAAAAAAACGCCAGACTTCTAGATTCAGCAACGTAGTCTTGCAAAACATGACCTTTGGCCAGTCTTGCTGCCAAAGCCCGCGTGTCCTACCCATCATTTCTTCACTTGTTTCCTCAAGCTTAGCCTCAAAGCCCGTTCTCGGCCAAGAAGTCCTGGACTACGCCATACCATCCAGTAGCATTGAAATGCAGATTCATGCCGTGTCCTGTGTTGGGCTGGATATATGTCTTGAGCGGTTTGGCAGCAGAGAAGACCTTGGCGTTGGCCGCGTATGGCCCATCAACGACACCATAGCAATCGGAACCGCAAAAGATGAGATCAGCATCAGCCGCCATGAGCTAAGTTCTTATTAGCTAAGGTGCTTAAAGCTACGTGAGAAACCAGCTTACCAGTACTGGCTTTTCAAACCCCGGTGCCGCAACAGGAATAAGGCCACCAGTCAGGATTTCTCCCAAGGTGAAAGGAAATTTACCAGCTTCCGCCTTATCCAGGACTTTTGGATCGAAGTAAGGGTATTTCAAGAAGCCGTACTGATTTGTGAACTTGTCGCCCCAGGTCAGATATCCGCTCGACAGACCAGAAAATCTTTCTGGTTGGTTCTCGGAAGCAAGGTGGAATGCACTGGCCCGCAAGAACCAAGGCTCATATGTAGCGTTCAGAGAATAACCTGTCAATACGATTGCGTCGCTAATTTCGGGACTAGTGGCCGCGAGCGCGTTGGTGATGGAAGAGCCATATGACTGGCCAACATGAACGATCTTCTTTGGTATGGGGATCCTCTTGGAGACATTTCCGTTGCGTAACAGACTGGTGATCTCTGTAAGAATAGCTAATTCGATGACAGTCTGGACAGTGTTGTATGGGTCTGCAATTGTCGAGGCTCCATTTCCGAGACGGTCATATGAGAACGTGGAGTAACCTGCGGACGTGGCTGCCGCTATGTAGTTGAGATCGCCATCTAAATCCCAGTAGGAACGATCAAATCCGAGGCCATGCGAGAGCAGTTGCAGAGTCGAGCTCTTGGTTGAGGGTTGGGATGGTGTGCAGTATGTCGCACCTATGGAGAAGATGGTGCTGACATTGACGGGTTTGCCCAGCAGTGCACTTGAATCCGGATTTACTGGATTTGAGTCAGACGTTGATATCGATTTTAAAACAAAAGCTCAAATGCAACGCGCCGGTCGTAGTTCATCCAAGAGTTTTGTGGCAAACACTTACCATCTCTCTTCGTGGCTTGCAGAACAAACTCTGTGGCTTCATAACCGTTCTTGAAAACTGGAACCAGGAGCGGATAGCTCTGGGACTCGACGTGCACGGGAACATCGAGATCAAAACAGTTGGGTTTCGAAGGTACAGCAGCGGCTACGCATAGTACAGGTATAAAAAGGACAAGGATCTTTGCCATCATGATGAAGGATCTAGTGAGTAAGATTGGGGTAGCAGAAGATTGGAAAGACTGAAAGAACCTGAGAAGCAATGAATTATAGCATCTCATACTTAGAAAACCATTCCAAATATCGTCGGAAATGGGAAATTCTCTGAGCGGGCGTTCGCATAGACCGTGCTGCATATACGATTTACTAATCCGTAGAGCTTATACTCGGGTCGGTTCTCGGCGGATGCTTATTCATTGCGAAGCGCGTTGTGATTGGAAACACTAAAGCGTTGCTGACTGCTAGTCTGACTCCAATGGCTGAGGCGGCGATCCAGAACTAACAACTTGAGTTGTTGATGAAGAAGTGTTGGTCCTGTCGAATCCTCGGAGGAAATAGACGCAGGAAAGGAGTCCGCAGCTTTGCAGTGGTCACGCATTTATCCATTTCGGGCAAGGCTTATAATGAGCGAGTCAGTGGCGTATCACACCCCACTGTCGCTTAAGGTGAACCTTGACCAGTTTTATTCTCCCCAACTTGGGATCGATATCGAGAAATTCCTAGCAAGATTGATTCTTGAATTTGCCAAGAATCTATCGAGCTCCAAATAAGTTCCGAAAAGTCTAGTATGAAAAGACAATGTTGTGCTGCTTTGCGGCTAGGAGCGATGAAAATGGTGAAGCAGCCTCACCTCACTATGCATAAAGAAACGGAGACGAGACATTGTATATTCAGGTATGTTGGCAAGACCGCTAGCACCAAGCTATCGTGGCTAAATTTCGAACAGAATGGATAAACGTAGTCAACACCGTTCATTTGCAAATTAGACGAATCCCTTAAAGACAATCAACGCTTCGGTATGCTTTCATCTACATCACTTTCCCATTTCCTTCTCATTGGGATGCGCTGGATCCTGCCGTCCACAGTCAATTAATGTTCGTTGTTTCCACGTTCAGGCCAAATTCACGAAGGGTAGAACTTACCGTAATGATCTGCACCCTCTTAAATTTCAATGCTCCCTTTGACAATTTCACAATCTCATATCTCCCAGCCCACTCACATTCATGTTTTGTGCCGTCTTCGTACTTGTACTCCACCTTCCCAATACACATCAACTGCAAATCGTCATCGCCAAAGGTGTAGAATTGGATGGCTGGATGATCACGATGAGGGACGTTGTTGAACAGGAATTCGCGAAAGTCGGAAATTTCTAGGAAGATTTTGTGAGCTGAGAAGACGAGGTTTCTTCGCAGGAGAGTGAGGAATACCTTTATGTCCTTTATAGGCTTTTTCTGCGAACTCGTAGGTCCCATCCTCGACGAATAAGCTAGCAAATCTCTCCTCGTCTGTTCGTCTTTTGTAAGTATGTTACGGTTCAATGTGGGGAAGCTCTAAATCATACCGGCATCATGCGTGGTATGCGTAGACGCAGCATTCGAAACATGGAAATACTCTTCCATGAACTCCTTCACTTCAGGAGTGATGGTACTTGGGAACGCATTGGGATAGATGGACATGACTACTGCACGGCGACGTCTAGAGTCAGAAGATATTGATGGGAATGTGAAAGCTCTCAAAGATGAGGACTGACCCCGCTCTTGTAGACAATCTTAAACATGATGGTGTGTCGTACGACGCTTGCCGTTCAGCCAGCCTTAAGTCTGCGGCCCGAGCCTTCGGCTCGTGTTGGCAGTGCCTGAGGTCGCACATGCTAGTCTTGAGCGATGGAATAGTAAAACATAGCCTACCAAGCCATCTCGTTTATACGCAGATCTTGGATCTACCATTCCTTTGTTCGATGGTCGAAGCAATCCCGTCCTATGAGACCTACTTCCAGCCAGTCTGCCATCTGTGACACTGTGTGTCAACGCACATGGTGTCGCTAGATTGAGCGTGCAACAAAAAATCAGGCTGCGTGATATTGCCCTCATTTCGATCTCATATGTCATGGAAGAAAGGCAAATAAAGGAATGCAAAATCTGCCAAATCAACAAGGCTGAGTTCATCTGACCAAAGATCGTCCCATTGTTCCACATGAGATCGACATCTTTTCGGCCCAGTCCACAGAAGTAAGCCTTACGATACTGGATCCAAAGGTTTATCATGCCATCCACTTCCTCCTCTTGTTCCTTACCCACACCCGACTCACGATCCGTAACACAATCGATACGACAATCGATAAGGCGCACCAACCTGCAGTCTCCACAAAGCCCAAAGTAAAGCCCGCGAATTTGGACTGTCTGATTCGAAATTTCATTCACGGTACCCATGGATCCGCGTGGGTGGTTTAATGGGTGAGCATGATTCCTTCTCGTCCAATTACGTCCCAGCTAATACCCCCTAGTAAAATCCGTGCTTGCCATACAGCAGGTTGCACGGGCTCCGAGTTCGATTCTCGGTCCACGCAATGTGTCATCTTTTTGCTGCTTTATGATGGAGAATTGTTGCGAGAAAGTCCCCTGTATGGTGGAATAGCATTTTTGTCTTAGGAGAAACGAAATTCCTAAATAATGGTGGATAGGGAATGTCGTAATCGAGCTCCACATCCAATTCCATCGAGAAAGGAAATGAAGATTTGATCTTGCCGCATCTTTGTTGGTAGATGTTCCTTGATCGATAGAACACATCCCATTGCTAAGCCCGGCTGTTTCGAATCTCAATCGAACAACAACTTTGCAAACCGCGGGTTAGCACAAAGTTTATGTAGATGATACGGCGAAAGAAACAAGTCTGTATTCAACTCGATTTGAATCACGCCCTTCCACTCACAAAGTGTCGCGTGTTGATTGTTCTTCGTCAATGACAGCAGGCTATCTCTTCCGCCCGTTAATTCGAGATTTATCAGCCAAATCAATAGCAGGAGACTCTTAGAGAAGAGTCGGCACTTCCTACCGAACGACCCTAGTATATTTGTTTAGTGATTAGGAAGAACGTTTATTGATATCGATGCCCAGCTCAGGATCTGTTTCCACTTACGTTGTTAGAAGATAGGTTGATTGTAGATGATTTGAAGATGGAGAGTTGACGAGGAATGAGTGGGAGAAAGCGGTACGCGTCGGCTGTCTTGTCACGCGTGAGAAGATCACGACTGCTAAGTAAGACTTACCTGGACCACGCAAACAGCTGTCATCTACACCTCACTCATTACTACTCCCTTCCGGACATCCACGATACCTACAACTAATCACAAGTATAATGGCCGACTTCGCGCCCTACCAAGATATTCCTGAAAGGACCAGAGCCCTCTCACCACCGATCCGCTCGCCAACTACCTCTCCACGTCCTCACGATCAACAACCGAAGCGGAATATTGGCACCTCAGCACTGCATTCTCCCATAGCCCAGGGACAGGGAGAGTATTTCTCGCCTGGCGCCGGATGGAGACCCGAGGGCGATGTCGAGCAAGGTGGTGCGAGGAGAGGCTTCGGCGGAGGAAGGGAAGATGTGGACCTGTTCGAGACGAGATTAGGCATACGCGTCGATTGGGAAGCTTGTCTCGCCTACCTCGCCCTTCCGCCAGTAGGAGGGGTGTTGCTGCTCATCTTGGAGCATAAGAGTGATTACGTGAGGTAGGTGTATGTCTGTCTGAGAGATGGGCCTCGCATATTGATCATTGGACAGATTCCACGCATGGCAGTCCTCCCTCCTATTCACATTCATGTTTGTTGTGCATGTCATTTTCTCGTGGTCAAGCGTACTGTCTTGGTTGCTGTTTGCTGGAGATCTGGGCCTCATCGGACTTCTAGTCTACAAGGCTTACATTGACGGTACGTGATTCTGGCATCAACGCATGTCCAACGAACCTCTGACGCCTCTAGCTGCCACTCTCGATCGTTACGAGATACCCTTCTTTGGCCCGCTGGCCACATCAATTCTGGACGACGAATGATACTTTGGTGCATATGCATGGCGTTCACGGCATGGGAACTTGGGTAAGGCCGCCTTGCTAGTTAGAAGAGCTTGGGCAACCAGGAGGTCACCTATTGCTCTAATTTCATTACCTCCCGATTCGTTGATTTTCGAGACGATGATAGATTGGTCGTTGCCAGCATGATTTGATGCAGAACCCAAAGCGCAGCTTCGACAGTAGACAAAATGACAATGTTATCCCAGCTCGATATCGCCTGTCGAATCCAGGCTTGACGGTTGGCAATGACTCGAGAAAGAGGATGGCATGAGGATCGAGGAAACAATAAACCCTTCTACCAGACCACTTGAAGAATTACCGTACCACATTACATCCCCACATCGTCACCATTTCTGAGGCTACCGTTTTACGAAACTTGGGTTGTCGCGGCTCCTCGCAACTCCCAACAAAGATTGTCTTTGAATATACACCCTGCTACTCTAGGGGTGTACTCGTGTGCGGTTACCGACACTGTGCGATACACTTCCCAGATTTAAGCCGTGTCTTCAGCTCGGCACCCACTCACTCACTGTTGGTGCTGTTGCCAAGTGCATTCGACGTCCTTTTGCTTACTCAGAAAATCCACGGTATCGGGAAGAGTCAGCAGCTCATAATTATGCTGCCTTTAGCTTGACATGACAACCTGAAAAAGATAGCCCTTTCCTCTGCCAATATTCCTGTGTGTTCGCGCTCGCGTGACCGAGCATGACCGTGGGTGTATCCGAGTTACATTTGCCAATGAACCATCAAGCGGAGGACCTGCTTATCCACTCAAATGTTGGCCTCCATGTACGGCAAATTTCAAGATCTCCATGCCTGCCTCACTGTCCATATGGGAACAAGGGACGAAGGAGAAAGCAATTCACTAATTCCCTCGTCCCCGAGAATTGCAAAGCTGGGTACTCCTGGAACTATTGCCACACTTGCTTCGGATTCACAATGGACCAATACGTCGAGCGCGGTAAACGCACGCAACTTGCTGATAGTCGCCGGTGCTTCAAGCACAATGCTCGTTGACGGCTTCTCCTCAAACGGTGATCATAGAGCTCCAGGCGCGGAATGCGGGCTCAGAGCCAACACGACTGCTGAAATCAAGCTCGTGACGGCTCATCAAAGCAAATGAGTGCCAAGACGAGGACTACTTCTAGGCAATCATGAGAAGAGTACGTATTTCACCTCGTCTTCAGATACCTCTTACCGTCAACGCCAAGACGGACTTCAGAGATGATGGCTCGACCTATGGTATCGCCATTTCCTTCACAGTCCAAACCATCCGCTCCATTCCAGCAGCAAGTTGGGTCGGCACCCTCGCCAACTGGGAGCAAGTTACATATACGCGCTCGCAACAGCCCAAATTCGCAGACGCTTTATGAGGTTAAAAGGAGGGTGGATCAAGAGGGTGTGTCTTAGTGTACTAGGGCGTGTGGGGGGAGCAGGTTGTCCGAGGACGTGGATGTGGTGGTGTGTAGGAGGCTAGGTAGTTATCTTTACCTAGGTACTGCCAAGGCATGGGTGTAAAAGCAGATCTTACCCCCCCATTGGTGTTGTTGATGAAGTGCAGATACAGCAGTTCTGCTCAAGTTGATAGTCTTCGAGTTTTGTACTGCCGCGTCTAAACGTCTGCACACGTGTAACTCATTCTTGAGACTTGGCCCCGTTTTGGAAGGGATGCAATTGATAATATGAATTCATGCCACTCGTATCGGTGTCCTTACCGTCCCTGATAATAACTGGAAGTAAAGAACCAAGCGCCAAAGGCGCCTTCTATACGTCCAAACCCATCAAACACATGCAACTATCCCGACTTCCTGAACGGCGGCTTTGCATTCTGGGCCTTTGTCGCATCCCAGAGCCAAATTCCGCCCGTCTTGTCAGCGTCCAACGTCTCGCCAATCTTCTTGCCAAGCGCGTCAAAAACGGTGTCTCTTTCCGCTCTAGAGAAAAATCGACGCTCCCACTCGATGCCTGCTTCTTTTTCTTTCTTCCTCATCTCTCGTTGTTCATTCTCGATTCGTCCCTTTTCTGCACTGGTAGTGTCCATGTCTCCCTTTTGAATCGCAACAGCGACTTTGTGCCAAGCTCGCCTTGACTCCATCTCGTCTTGCTCCTCGATGCTGGGGACAATCAGGCTCGTGGTGCGAGTCTCGGCCGGGTCGAACGAGTCAATTTCCTTCTTGGTTTTGGCGTCTTTGATACTGAAGCCAGCCGTCCATTGGCCATCCACTGAATATATTGCTTCTTTCGGTTTGCCCTCTGGATAGAGAGATGCGGTAAAGCTGTTCTTCTTCCCCGATAGCCATCCTCGGCCGCTGTAGTCTATTTTCGCTGTGTAACCAGTGGAGGATTGGATGTATGAGGATGAATTGAGTTCGACAAATGGAGCGCCACTGTAGACACCTTCAATGTGGAGAGAGGGAAGGGAAATGAGGTAGTCTTCGTTGAAGGCATCTAGGTGAAGGGTTGCGTGTCCAACTTGCTGTGTAGAACGTCAGCGTAGATCAACGAAGAAAGATTCATCGCAGTCGCCTGAGAGTGCGCAGCTGCCGCTTGTACATACCTTGACCGTGATCGTCAAAGTCTTCGAAATGGACGCTTTCTGAGCATTGTAACCCTGCAGCCTTACACCCTTATCTTGGTTCCAGATGCAATAAGCCGTGACCGGTGGATGATGGCTGCCCACATACATTAGCAACAGTCTTCCCCACATTGAGGAATATGTGACATACCTGACCTGCTCACTGACGAGCTGTGTCTCTCCAGCAGCATCCACCCACTTCGCCAAAAATAGTTCTCCCAAGAATGGATTCAATGGCTTCTTCTCAGATCCCAAGCTCTCATTCCTCGACGAGTACTGCTGTTTCAATGTGCTCAAAAACCATTTCAATACCAACAGAGCCCGTTTCGCTGGATCCTTCTCTGCGGCTGGCGCAACGAAGAGAGAAGGATGCTCTGCCCAGTATGAACTAACAATATGATTAGCGAAGTTCCACACCGGTCAGCTGCTTCTGGCTCAATTACCTATATTCTGTGAGGGAAACGCCGCTGAGGATGAAGGGAGGCGCCGTGAGGGACGAGATATCTCCACTGAAGGAAGCGATGGACTTGAGGAACGAGGTCCTGGAACAGAAGATTAGCATCACCAGGCTGACGTATGTTGTGGAGAAGGGTGCGAATGTAGGCTCAGACTAACCAAGAGCCCTTTGCAGAGGGGGGTACAGCGCTTCCTTCAGCGGCCATTTTGCGTTTCGATCGAATTTCTGAGGAGTCTGAACGTGCAATTACAAACTGTAGGGAGTGGCGACGGTCAATTTAAAGGTAAAAGAGGTCAATGAGGGCTAGTGGTGAGGTTGCTAGGAGGTAGGATTGGGCGGCGGGAGACCAAAGTTGTGTTGACTGATGACGCGCGAGAGGGCGCAAGTAGGCGCTTCAGCAGGTCCTCCAATCACATCACAGCCTCAGCCCTCCCAGGTACGATACGCAGCACATTTCTCCGTGCAACT